TATTAGCCTACAATTATTAGCCAAGTTGCTTATATCAAAATATCAAAATTTTCTCGCTCATTGTGTTCAACAAATAGTACACCTACATATTAATCACTAAATAATAGTGGGATAAAACGCTATCTTGCGCGATCTCATTAAAATTCCGTTACGCGTATAACGCACAGGGAAGTCCAGTTTAATTAGCAGAACGACACGCCATTATCAGGTCAACGCCTCGCGCTTGACGTTAGTGAGAGGCCAAAAAATTTCTTGAAAATATTTTTCTTGCCATGCCTTTCACCTGTGACGGGTCTCTCGCGCCTGGAAAAGTCCTTATCAACGGCGTGACGTCGGCTAACGACATTCGCAACTCATGCCGGAGTCCTTCCATGATACGATAACGCGTGCGTGCTCGCCGTTTTCCAACAAAATATCGCGTTAACGCGAACGCCCACGCTTCGATGCACGCGTCGGTGCATTCGCTGTAGAATCACGAGAAGCGCAAGCAGATAGAATCTCCCTCTTGCAAGGAGAATAATTTACGAGAAAACCGCACGGTAAACCTCGCGCGTGATCTTCGAAAAGTATATGGTTGCGTTAAAATTTAACGTAATTAAGAGCGATAAAGAGGTTCAATCATACAGGCAAGAAGTATAGTAAAGTATAAACAAATTAAAAATGTCTAAATTGACATTATATTATAGATACAATCGATCATTTAATTAAGTTAGAATCAAATTAAATTTTTTATATATCTTTGAATATCGAGATTTTTGTCTTTTATACTGAAATTATATTGTTGGAATTATATTATATTTATTGTATAAAAGTTATATTAAAGAAATCATTTTCTATATAAAGTTTTCATATCTAAGATTATACTAGAGATCTATTGATATTTGTTTAACGTTGCTATCCTGTAAGTAGGAGGAGACATATTTTTGACGATTTACACGAGTTTGGGTGGCTCGCTGATGAAAATATTTATTGCCGCGATGATCGACAAGGCGGATACGCATGTTGTTCATATTTATTCAATAGATCACGTTAAACAGCGCCCTAACGTCTTTTTCACAGTCTCCAAAAATGCGCGTCTAAATATTTTTCTCTCCGCTCGACCGACAGAAATCGTTTGATTTCGTTTGAACGGGACCACAGGCCGGATACTCACGACCCCATTATTTGCCTCGGGAAAAAATCGTGGATCCCGCAAAGACGTCGTCGTCGAAATCGATGCCTGCTGCCATCATCATGGCGAGCGAGACTCGACCCGACTCGCGCGGGTTTCGCAAAGGCACCTTCTAGAAATAGAACGCCCAAATAATTTGCCTCGGATTACCAGCGACCGCAAGCCGGTGCTCTCCCTTCTTCTCTTCCTCATCGGAGCTGATCCTCGTGGACGCATTTTTTCCAACTTTTGAAACGAAAGCATCGATTTATCGTGCAAAATTTCCGCGCGAATAAATAAAAATTCAAAAATCACGTGGTGTAATCCAAGATAATAGGATAATTCATTTAATTTGTATATATATTTGTACATACGTCAATTTTTGTAAAAGATATTAGAAGGAAAAGAAAAAGAAACAGATCGTCATTTTATTCAGCGTGACTGTCATTACTAAACTTTTTTACGAACGAAAAACTTTTAATAGAAATTTTCATAAAAACAAATTGCGAACGAACGAAAAATTATGCTCTCGTCGAACCGTCTGTTTTTCATCACATATATTTATGGTATTGCGAAAACACTGTATAAATATTGCACTTCAAAATCATCGACGATAGTATACAAATATTTCAGGCGTGTTCACGTTGAATTTTCTTGTCAAATTCGACAACTTTTATTGATATACAATGTACATTTTGATGAAAATCTTGAAGAAAATGCGTACGATCAAAAATTTACACGATTAAGTAATATAAAATTATACTTGTGGTAACTGTATTATATGGTTGTATTCGTAATCGGCATTTCGAACTTGGCCTTCTTCGTAGCATACCACGTGGTTCGTTTATTTTACGAGGCCGCAAATACGGCGAGCGTCCGGCCACCCTCGGCTTTCTCGGAAAGGAGAGAAATATGAGTCCGACGTGTCAAAGACGTCTCGCGCAAGTTTTCTCGCTAGGAGACGATCACCGATCCGATTTCTACTTTGCAGTTCGGGGTGCTTGAACTCGATCGCGCGTCTTTCGCCAAAATACATCCGTTAAAATTCATTGAAACGATTTACATGTGTGCAGCAAGAATCCGGGGAAATCCGAGAAATGGTGCCATCCTTGAGACTCGAATAACCACAATTTTTGGCCGAAATATTAAGAAAGTTTCATAAAGAACACTATATAGTTTATATTCTTCTTTTAGCGAAAAGAATCGAGAATAAAATTTTTCAAAAATGTCATTACATACATACGTAAAAAAAAAGTTACATACGTATGATTTACATACGTAAATTTCATCTTTCCTTTCGCGATAAAAGGAATGATGATATTTTTTTTTCATGATTATTACACGCGTAACAATTACGTTTTAAACATCGTCAGAGCGGCCTTCGGAAAGGAATGAATCATACAATAATCCGAGATTTCGAAATGTAGCGAGTAGACGTAACAGCTCAAGCATACTCTTGTCAACAAAACACCCGCATAGAAAATTTCTGCCTACGGAAAACGCGGACATGTTGAATTTCTGACAGTTCGCTCGAGAAAGCTGTCAGTAGATCCGCCACTCATTGGCATGCCCACGTGTCTTAATAATAGCATTTATGGCCGTACAACGCTGCTCGATTACTCGGAAAAAATCGCGGGAAAGAATTACGGAGCGATTCGCGACTCTACGCGTTCGCCAAAAGCTTCTCGTGTTACAGCGCCAAGCATCGCCAAAACATGTCGGAGGCGGCGGCGGCGGCGGCGGCGACGGTTGCGAGCCCGGCGTTTCGCACGTAGTTGGCAACGATTTCTGCCGATGCGCGTGAAATAATTTTATCACCGCCAATTACGTAATCGCATACGTGATGCTTCTAGATCGTAATATCAAAACACACATCCGATCACATCTCACTGTTCTGAAAAGCTGCGAAAAGCACGGAAAAAATTCCCGATTACCTCTTGAAATTTATATAAGATATTCTTAACTTGAATCGTAATGTTAACGATATGGAAATGAGAGAGAAAGAATAAAAAAGGAATAATAGCAATTCACTTGATAATAATTAAGTTATTTACATTAATTGTAAGAATTTAATTTTTTTCAAGTGTATTCAAAGAGGATCTAAGAATATTATAAAATTATTCCGATAAAATGTTCCGATTCTTAATTATTTGTATTTAAATTTTATTTCGAATATTTAAAGAGAAATATTTTGATGTGCAATTCTATTTTCTACGATAGCACAGTTATTCGTACTTAAAAGCGTAAAAAAGAAACCAACGAGAGATTTCGATTTTGCCGTCTTAATTTTCGCAGCACTTGATTTCGTTTTAGATTGCACATTGAGAACGAGAGGATCAGTCTTACGAAGCATCAATACGTGCCGTTTGCCTGTCGAGTGTCAATTTCAGCCTTTGATACCGATTTCATTTCCAAGGACGAGTCGTGAAGGATCTCGTTTACGTTTCACTTTCGATTCGTTCTTGCTCTCGGAGTTCATTATCGTTCGTTATTCGCTTCCGCATACCGAAGATTTGCAAATTTTCATTCATGCATCACAGAATGAATTTTATCGTTGGTTATAATAAATTATAATATTGATTATAATAAAAATAGAATACGATAAAAAATATCAGATGATTATATTATTATTGAATTTAGAAAATTATATATATATAAAACAATAAAAAATAATATTTATTTTAATTATAAAATATAATAGAATAGAATTTATTACTTTAACATATTTACAACTAAGAAAGAACTTGCTTTACAACTTAACTCCACTCTATTTTAATTATAATAAAATATTTATTTTAAATTATAATAAAAACTGACAAATGATATTTGAGTAATGGAAAATATGCCATGCGAGACATCTTAAGAAAAGGTTAATCGTTGGAAGCACTGCTATGATTACAATTGTCAAATGGAAAAATTGATCGATCTTCATGTCCAATGAAAATCCTATTCTATCCGAGTTGTGGCAATTGATATCTCGTGAGCGATACGTGAAGGAAAGATCCGAGCGAGAAATAATGCACAGAAGTGTATAGTCGTATAGTCTCTCTTAATTTTACAATCGGCAGTTTCGGGATAGCGAAGCCGATTGTATCCTCTTTACTGTCGAAACTGTTCGACTATCGAGAAACGTTGTGGAGGCAACGACAAGGAACCGCAGATGAAAATAGCCATATAAAACATCGCTATATATAAACGGCTGTAAGAAATATTTTTACTACTGCTTCTGCCTCAGTCAACTTGAGATCCAGTGGCTCGAGTGGCTCCTTGAAAATATTCCTTTAAAATCCTCGATCGAACGGTCTTTTACGATAATTTTGCTATAATTTTTTCATTATACTCAGAGACGGTTCGGTGATATTGAAGAATCGTTATACATGTTAAGCAATAATTAATGATAAGAAATGGAATGTAAATGTACAGTGTCACGCGCGAATAGAATGCTAAGTGTATTCGTCAGTGGAATTGTGCAAAAATACAAAATTCATCCTTTTTAATATCGATCGCAATATCATGCATACTTTTGCGTTATATGTATTACTTAATATTTAAGACACACGTGCGGCATAATATATAAATTATTTATTAGAAACCCGTTTTGTATTAATATAATATTTTACATATTGGATAATATTGCGCGTGAACGAAAGAAGCAATTCTATTTCACATAGCCCCTCACGTTGATACGAAAGAAACTTGTAGAAGACTCACGTTATCACACCATACGTGTCATATCTTCCTGTATCATATCAAAAGTACAGATACACGAAAATAAATATCATCGAAGAGGAGAGATAATATTCCAGCACAAAGTAAATTGGTCTCAAATAAACGATCCAGATCGACTCACCTTTTGTACGATGAGCGGCGTGCCGAAATCCTTGCCGCCTTGCAGACGGAAGCCCCAGGGGGATCCGTCGAATCTGGACAGCTTGACGCTGATCAGCTGTGCCATATCACTGTCTGTCCGAACTGTCGATCGTATATCGGAGTAAACGATCGTACGAACGAGTGGAGAACGATCTCGCGAAAACTCTGCGACGACTATTGGCGAAACGAGCCCTTAGCTCGACTCGGCTACTTTCAAGGTATCGCGATGCACCATCGACAATTGGGTCGACAACGTCCGTTTGCTGGTCCGTTTGTGTGTACGTACCTCTATAAAAGAGGGGGGTATATGTATCGCGCTCTCTCGAGTGGAACGTGAAACGGGCACGTACGTTCCCTGAAGAACGCGCAGACCGGAGTAAAGGTATAAGAGGCGCCGAGGACGGTCAGTCGGGCAGCGGGGCCTCCTCGCCACGCGATTCGGAACGAAGAGGAGGAGTGCGAGAGCGCGGAAGGAAAGGGAAGGAATGGAGACAGGGGGGAGACGGCGGTAGGAAGGAGGGAAACGCGTGGTGGATAGGAGGCAGCTGGCGGGGACGGAGAGAGGAAGAAAGACAAATTTATTGTGTTTTGGCAGGAATCTCCTCGGATGGCGGTATACGCTGCAAAAATGAATGATGAATGATGAAGTTTCCTTAAAGGTGTGTTAAATAAATTTCGATTAGCGCTCGGATGTTTCCAACAATTTCAAAAATTTCAACCTAAAATCGCTCGGATCTTTCGGCGCAGACAGGTACCTGAATTCAAGTGTAGTAGTCAAATAAAAGAGAAAAGAAAATTCGTCTCGTGAAAAGAAAACAAAGCAGAAGATCGTCTCTGCAAATTATTTCCAGTGGAATTCTTCTTCATGTCCGAACTGTGCGAGTTCTTTGCGTGACGACTGCCTTTGTTACCAAAGTTTATAAAACGAAGGCGATAGGTCTCTCTGAAATAAGAACTACGGAATAATATCTTATGATGGGATGCGATGATTGAGCGACATTCCAAATAAAGAAGAGCAAGTCAAATGTCCTCTCAATTAATCATTTAAATAATTTGTTTCAGTTGTCCATTATAAAATTCCGCAAAATAGGGAAAAATATTTTCTCTGGAATAGCCGACTATCATGCGTGGCTGAACGATCCACGGATATCCGGTACATCCCATGCGTCGTGCAAGGTGCTTCTTACGGTGGGAGTCGAGCAGCGGAAAGCAATAAGATATAATGTTAGAACGGAAAAAGGAGGACTATATTGAGGGAAAGAGACGGGACGAGATGTTGGGAATGTCGAGTTGATCATCTCGATGACCATGACAAGAAGAGCGCGCACGCGTTTTGCGTCTCTTCGATCCTCTCTGCTTTAATTATGTCACTTTTTCTTTCTTTATCTGCTTGGCTTTGTCTGATTATTTTAAAGTGATAGAAATGTGACAATTATATATGAATGAAATTTCGATAAGCTTAACTTAGAAAAAATTTTTTAATATTTTTTTTGCACACACGAAAAATTTTTTTATTTATAAACATTCAACATGCATATTGTCAATTACGAATCAATTAAAAATTTTAATTTTAATTTATTTAGAAATTCTTTATCATGAAAAGAGTCATTATTTTTCTCAATTATCTTTTCTTGATTAAAATTTTTATCATGTCTTTTGATAAAAAAGCAATTTTTGATCTTAATTACAATAGTATTGATGTATATGTTGAAACATTAATATATAGAACTAAATTGAATATACTAAAAGTAGAAATGCTGTAGTTTGGAATCTCTTTTACTTGAATTAATGATTCTCTTCTAATATGTATAGAAAAGTGAGACAGAAAGAAACCTAAAAGTCATCGTTGTCGATAGGTCATATAAGAGGTCATGAATGGAAATTAAATAAATCCTATCGCACTATCACATGCCTCCATCGTTAAATTTCTCAGCAATCAGAGATGAATTTATCGAAATTGACATGCATCGCGATAGAGAAAATACACATAAATTATGTCGGAATCTCGTATTCTCTTTATATTCCCGCGCGTGTAAATGAGAAAAAATTATATGAGAATTCCTCTCTATGTAAGTAGGAAAATTATATTACGAGCTTTCTATCAAAATATTTAATTGTATTAAACTCACATTCTGATTAAAAATAAAATAAAGATTTATTTCTGGAATGTTTTCCATTTTTGATAATGATTCAATTTTTTTTATTTTTAGAATTATAATAAAAAAATTTATGCATTGTTTTAAATTTAGATTGTTTTCGTTAAAATTGAAAAGTTAAAATTAGCTAATATAGCTTACATAAAATTTATATGTAAAACCAAAATATAACAAAATTATGCATAATATCAAATGTAAATCTATATAGAAATTTTTGGAACAAAGTTTAATTATTTATTGTACATTTTTTCACAATTTTTCTCGAACATTATATTTCTAAAAAAAAATGTTATTAATTTTACTAAAAATTTTTCAAAAAATTTGACAATATTTATCAGTAATTAGTAATATTTATTAATGTTTATTTAGCATTATTAATTTCTTTTAACTTCTTTTAATTTCTTTCTTTTTAATTTGTTATATTTATACTGACATGAAAATCTGTTTTTTTTATATATATATAAAATAGATACAAACTGCTTTATGTTAAAATGCAATTACTGAGACAAAACGCATCTTCTCGGAAATCGATATGCATAACGTGCAAGTTCGAAAAGTCGCAGACAGGACACCCTTGATCGGCGCTGCACCGTGCTCGCGGCAGGCTGCTGCATTCTGCGCCGGTGGCGGTCACGAGGGCGCGAACTAGTTCGTGAATCATGCCTAGAATGCTTTACATAAATTGCTCGAGGCTAACGTCACGATCGGGAGACCCTAAGCAAGGAGTGAGAGGATGAGAGAGAAAGAGAGAGGAAGGGAGCGAGAGAAGGAGAAGGAGAGAGAGTGAATGAGAGAAAGAGAGGTGAAAACTAAAAAGAGGTTCATCGGCCAAGAAGGCAGACGTGACTCAGCCGGTCGTACGCATACGCGAGACGCGAATAACAGGGACCTCGGAAACCCCGGAAAGGAGAAAGTATGCCCCGCGACTCATCCGCGGGATAAACCGCGCGGATTTCCGAGCGAGCGGACAATCGCGGTCGTTTACTCGGAAACTCCGCCTTTCTGGGTCGATTTCAATCACCGCGTGAATTCCGAGATCCGGCAGTCCTCTCGGCGGTTGATCTGCGTAGAATGGAATTTGTGGACAGTGTGCACAGTGGGGTATATGGGGTGTCGACCGCTTCGGGAAATCAGCGGAAGCCAACGGCGATATTAACGATGCTCAGCGCCCTAGCAGGCGTAGGCAAATAGATTCCTCGGCTTCTTTTAATAATGAATAATGTTCTTGTTGATAAGTAGACACGCACGCGAGTGTCAATACAGAGTGAAATGGACTTTCACATACTTCACTTTCTAAATCACTTTTCTCGAAAATTAATTAATTCTCTGGCACAAACTACCTGCTGTTCACATCTGATTACTAGATTTTGTATAATAAATATAAATATAGAGACACATTGTTGATAAAAATATTGTTGTTAAAAAAAAATAATGGAAAATAATGAGAGGATTACATTTTAAGGATAATAATGATTATTCTGGGATGATACAAGATTTCTTGATGATCTTTCGCAATTTACATACAACTATAGAAAAATGTATGAAGATAGTTGCATTTGAAAAGGCGCAAATTGATTGAGTATTACTTTTTGAAATAATTTTGCGTGGTTACATATTTGTTAATTGTTCCGAATGTGTAAATTTATGGAAAGAGGCTGATCTCTTTACTCGTACATGTAGTGTGCTGATGGAGAAAATCATTCTCGAAACGATTTAAATACGAACATACGTGCATACACTCGTGTTTAGAATTATTACAACCACGTTATATCTTGATGATAGTACGATAACATTCTTTAGACGCGATTAATGTGTCAGATAATTACATTCCTGGTAATTTCTAGCGATTTCCTCGAAGTATTCATACATATATTCAACATGTCCTTCAAATACATAGATATCTCGCGTATAAACTATAACATAACGTCCTGATCATTTATCATTTATCATCGTTGTTGCATTAATGGCTGACGCTCCGAGGACTTCTGTCGTCTACAACACTCAACGCCGGTGATTTCTGAAAATATATGAAAAAAATTTTCCTTTTTTCTTTCTCGATTGAGATATAATAATATGTGATAATTTAGTTAAGTTATTTAATTATTTAATTGTAATCTAATTGTGTTATTTTTTATTTTCTCCTACATATTTACTTAGACAGAGATTAATTTAGTTTAGTTAGTTAATTTGCAATAATATTTAATATTTATGGAGCTTAATAATACAGTTATATAAAGATGATTAATCAATGATATTTATCATTAGAACATCCCTTAAGATTTTTTGTAAACATTTAAAATTGCTTAAAAATATTTTGTCATGATTTTAATAATTAATTATCGTTACTTCTATTCTGTCTAAGCGATTTTATTGACAGCCATAATAGATTATAAAGAGATGCTTACAACTCTTTCGATTATATCTTTCGCCGCATTGACTTTAGCGGGTCTGGCAGGGATGCCTCTTTTCGGTTCTCGCTCCATTTTATGAATCATCTTATAAACGCTCGAATTCATTAGGTAGTCATAGTTTGGTAAATTTGTCTTCTCATACTTCTTAAAGTTCACTCTGTACAATCAATTAATTGAATTGGAAAACTTTATATCAACAATTAGAATAAAACTGAACATCTTTTCAGAATTCTTTTCACTTTCTAATACAGTTTTTGACTGATTCTCAGTTTGAAATTTTTTTTATCAGAATTGTAAAAAATTATTCTTACCCCATTGCTTTACCGCGAATGACCTCCGCCTGAGAGGATAACACCTCCGCGATCATCTCATCATTGAAGAAATCATTCGGGCATCTCCATCTGCGACCCTGCGTAAGTTCAAGTTGTTTAGCCTGGGGCCACAGGTCCTGCGAATGTTTTCTGCCTCTCTTGTGCACTCTTTGCTGAAAATTAAAGGCATGACGAATTAACAATTCTGTCCGATTTTGAATGTTTACCATGCATCAGTTGCGTAAAAACAAATGAAATTATGAAATTCACTGATTCATGACACGTACGTACAATTCTTTTAATATCAGTAAAGGAAATTTCAAAGAGGAAATTAAAGAGATAATATATTAGACAATAAATAATATATAGACAATAAATTCACAAAATAGGATTTTAACATCAATTCGAAAGTAAGAGATATGTATAATTTGATTCGTGCATTTATGCAATTAATTTATTAAGAAACTTAAAAGAGGATTGTATTAACATTCGACGAGTAATTTTGGGGCACAGATAATGAATCTAGTAATAAAGGAAGACACGATCATCATTTTATATCCTAGGTAGAACACAAGATGGATCATTCCACTTATCAGGATACCTGCAGTTCTTGTATAACTTGATCTTTTGGTGACAGTTTAGGATCTGGTTCGAAACTTCCTATAATGCATTGTTGTATTTTACAACATTATCTTATATCTAATTCAAACACAAAAATGTAAAAAATAATATTCTGATATTGCAAAATTGCGAACTTACAATCGCTTAATTATGCTTTTTTAATTATATTGCTTTTATAAAATTCTAGACCACTGAAATCATGTATAAAATATGTTAGTATAAAATAATAATACTGATAATCACCATGCGATGGTGCCGGACTTGGTGATTTCAGAAGCTTAGTTTCATAAGAGACGATGAATTTCTTCACTCTATTTCCTTCCTCCTCCGCGCTCTTCACAGAAATCATACCGTCCAGTTCCTTCATTTCCGCTTCCTCTTCCTCCATTTCCCCCTCGTCATCACTGGGCTCGATCACTTGCGGCGTTGACCTCGATGACGTCTTTCGCTCTAAACACGCAATCTCCTCGATGTAATCATAAGTCTCCGTAAACTCCTCATCCTCTTCATCAGTATCCTCTACCTGCTCTTTCAGTTCCTCCTCGTCTCTTCGCTGCGATGTAACATTCTTTTCTGGATAATAACAAATTAAGATAAGTACACTATCAAAAATCCGAAATATGAATGTAAAAGTGTAAAAAGCTCTATATTTAATCTAGGCTACGCCTACACGTAAAATAATCTAAACATAAATGAATTTAGAATTTCCTTTAAAAAGAAAAACATGAACTGTCAAAACAAATTATTTTTTTTTGTTTAATTTATCTTTTTAAATTATTTTAATTAGACTCATTTTGTACTAAACAAGAAAAAGGAGGAAGGAGGGAATCGGCCAAAAGACGAGCTAAAATAGACAGGATGTAAAATTAAATAAAATTTATTCTCAAATTCATTGAATGCACATATACATGTTTCGATTTCATGAGTCTTCTTCAGCGTTAGAACATTAATAAATGAGAAAATATTGAAAATGTTTTCTACGATCGCGATAATTTACATGAAATCACGTCTTTTTGCCGATTTCTTCCCTCCCCTCTTTTTTCTTTGAAAAGATAAAGTTACACGCCAACAGAGTGTAATCTCATTTTTCAATGTAGTACTGATGAACGCGGGAACTGGCATCCGGTCAAAATCGAAATCGCATAGCGACGAAACTCGAAAATATGCCTAGCGAATAATCGTCAAGGTCCGCTCCGGCTATTTTAGATACGATTACGAATCTCGGTCACCTGACAGCCCGCAGTGGGCGCTTCCGTTTCCGTTGCCAAGGGACCGCTGCACGCCGCTAAGCTCCATGATCTTGTGCAGTTGCTCGGACACGATTCTCAGGTGATTCTCGATCTCGCTCGGTAGCTGCTTCAGGGCGAGCAACTGCCGCTGCACGTTCTCCAGCTGTTGCTCGAGATTGATTTCCGTGGACACCAATTCCTTGATCTTCTCGTTGTTGACTTTTGCCACCGCCGGGTCGGCCGTGGAGACGACACTCGAATCCTCCTCAGCCGCTACCGCCTCGTCCCGCGTGGATTCCGTCGCACGAGATTCGAAACGATGATCTTCTTCCTGGGATTCGGGTTTTTCTTCCGTTTTAATTTCGTCGACTTCGTTCGCCTCTCTTTCCTCTGCTTTTGATACAGGACGTGAATCAGGTTTTCCCTCCTGATCTGACTTACATGTGAAGTCTGGTGTTGCAGCTGAGGTCGTTGTCTAAAGCGTGAAAAAAATAAAAGTTATAAAAGTATATCAGTCGATGTAAAAATTATGTTTCTAGATGACCTAAATGATGATTTGATAATTTTGACAGAAATTTTTAATTTACAAAGATCTACAAGATTCGATTTTTTTACTATTTGTACTATTTAAACTTTTAAGCCATTATTTAAGTTATTAAGACAAACTCTCCAAAAGAGAGAAAGATTCTAATATTTTAAAAGGTTTTTAGATGTTTTATAGATTGCCGAAGAATAATTTATTACTCAATTTGTTACTCAGCAAAAGAAAGACGAAGAATGAAATATATATTAAAAATTATTTTATAAATTATGTTATGTGATTTTTGGACTATATATTTACCTATAAAAAGGATAGCATATTTAAGAAACATATATATTATTGTAATTATTTTTTAAGTTATTTTTAAAAATAATAGAGCAATATATTTGTTAGTCAGTTTATCATTTTTTTACATAATATAAGATTGCAACTAATGAATTTAAACATTTTATTCTAATAAAATTATAAAATTTAGAAATTATAATCATTTTTTTATAAATGACAAATATCATGAATTTTTTAAAAGAATTATTGATTAAAGATATAAATATATACCTACCTTTTGAAGTAACCAAATTAAATACCTTGTATTGAAAGTAGTCTTGTATATTAAAGTAGCCTTTACATATATTATACAATTTAATTATATTGTATTCTAATATAACAAATCTAAATATTAAAAATATCAAATGATCGTGATAGCGATAAAAAAATTAATAAATTTTGTTTACAATAGTTATAATACACACAATAAATTTAAAATGTTCCGTTTAGTGTCACTCGTATTTTTGTAAGAAGAACGGTTGATATATCGATACGTATAAAGAAATTCAAGTACAAGTAATCAGTTTCAATAATTTAATTACTTAACACATTTCACACAACTGAGGAATCACTTAAGGAAAAAGTTAATTATATTTTTGCTCGCGTATTGAATCGATCACACCTTTGATTATTTTACGATGGATTCACTCTGTTAACACTCATTCTAGTAACAAAAAACAAAACATACGGTTATATTTTAGGGACACATTATTACGAGATATTTTTATGCGGATGTCAATGCGTATTCCGCGGGGATATAATATCTGTGAAAATTTCTAAAACAAACATAAAGATATGTAACAAACTGACGTCAGTTAGAGAATTATTTTAGGATAATCCATTTAAATCTAAATACAATCATGGGGGACAAACATAATTGTATTGATCTAAATTAACAAACTGATGCGACTAAAACTGATTAAATTCTCAATGAATTCAGAATTAAGTTACGGATCGATTACAATCACGTCTGCAGTTTAATTAGTCGCATCAACAAAGTACAAACATATGACAAATGTCATCATGATCGTTAGATGACTATTTATACATATAAAAAAGAATGATCGAGGTGCAAGGCACGAAGGCGTAAACCACCAGCTTCGTGAAATCAATACCGATACGATTCGTGATACCCTGATAAAGGATTGTCGGCACAAACGATAGTCTTCGATTGTCGCGCTCGATTTCAGGACCGATCTTTTCTTCGTAATTTTCTTCGTAATTTTCTTCGTAATCTTCGCTATATTCGGTACTGTTCTTCTGGGAGGATGAAAACCAAGGCAGACTGAAGTGCATGCTCTTCAAACGACTCCACAGACCTCCGGAAGTCGTGGGGGGAATAGATTCCCTCCCTGAATGGCCTTGACAATCTCCTGCTTCTACGATGAAACACCTCGCTGGAGACGTAATCACCTGTTGAGTGGAGAAGACT